GAATAAATATCTGAAATGCTAAATGTTTATTATAATTAAAACACACTTTTATTTATTAATACAGAAAATGAAATCTTGCTTCACTTATAATTTTTATATGATTTTTATTTATAAGTCTAAATGTAGTTTTGCGTAATTAGTCTGCGTTTGCAGTTTACGGTACTTTTGATTTCAATAGACATTAACTTTAATTCATTTCTACAATCGCTTAGTGTCTGAAAGTGAAGCGAAAATGAGTTTACTATTACGACATACGCTGTAATTAATGGTCTTTTTTAGATCAAAAGTGATCTTCATTTTAATCTTTCAACAGATGTACACAAAAATCCTTGACTTTTACTCTTTTGTTGCGCTTTTCTCATACCATTCCTCCCAATCCTAGACTTAGAAATGGGCCGAGTTTTCAATATTTTATGATTTTACAAGTCTATATCTAAATGTGTTTTTGAAAATTCAATGAATTTTGAGTACATTATTATCTGTTTATATAATATTATTCCGTATAAAACACTAATAAACAAATAGACATTCAGTAAAATCCAGTATAATTAAGTCGAAAATATATCTAAAAGTTTGAAACTCGTAATAGGATTAAAGGTTAAGACGATAAATATATTCGTTACTATACTAGCACAAATGTGGTGAAAATGGGTTTATTAGCACAACATGGTATTTTTAAAATTGACTCCTAAAACAATTTATGAGAAAACACTATTTAAAGCCAATACGTGACCAAACATTAGTAGAAAGCAAATATAATTACGGGATTATGCTCTTAATGAGAGCTACAAACAATTCATTACATGAATTTTAATGATTTATTTATTGTTTTGCTATTAAACTGTTTATTTTTATTGTTATTTATTTCATTATTATTATTGCTATTCATTAATATTTAATTTTATTTAGTATTCATAAAGTTTGCATAAATTATAGATAAATTTTGAACTCATTATAATTAAAAACCTTTTGGTATAATAAAACGTCTACAGAATAATAGATTATATCAAATATAATACTTAGCTTTCTATGATGATTCTTTACTCATTTAAATATATATTACTGAATAAATTATAGATATAAAGTATATATATAAAGTATATACTGTAATATAATACAGTATATATAATATATATATAAGAATATTCTTACAGAATATATCACACATCAAAGAATTAATTGAAATTCTCTCTCTTTATGTACTTATCGTA